TTTTTTCAATTTCAACACCCTCTATCTCGAAAATGGTGCATTTTAGAGGGTAAGTTAATAGAAACGTTTTTTCTTATTTTTAGACGAGCTATCACGTCCTGAAGTCCAATATCTTTTAGACCTAATCTCAGAGGTGGATCAGCATTAAGAAAGCCAGATTTTTTCGGAGAAAGAGTCTTAATTATAGAGGATTTTGTTAAAATTAAAACTCTAGAAACTTATGAAGAAGCAGTCAACAATCACCAAAGCTCTCAGTGGAAAGAAGCTGGGAAGAGTGAGCTGACGTCTTTAGAAGAAAAGCAAACATGGGAGCTAACATTCTTACTAGACGGAGCGAAAGCTTTACCATATAAATGGATTTTTAAAGTTAAATCTAATCCAGATGGTAGCGTAGATAAATTTAAGGCCAGATTAGTTATTCAAGATCTAATCAGAGACAAGGTATTAACTTTAATCAGACATTTAGTCTGGTAGTTAGACTGGGGCACAATAAGATCGATTTTAAGTATTGCAGCTAGTGAAAGAATGAGTCTAGCTCAGTTTGATGTATCCACAGCATTTTTATACAGAGAGCTTGAGGAAGTAATTTACATGAATCACCAATAGAGTTTGTAAACTTAACAGGAGCCTTTACGGACTAAAGCAAGCTCCAAGGTACTGGAGCAGACGTTTTAGGGATTTTCTAAAAAAAGCTGGGCCTTATAGTAAGTGAAGCCGATCCTTGGCTTTATATCAAGAAGGTAGAAAACTCTTATTGGAATTGTACATGGATGATGGTCTAACTGCGGCAACTGATTTGTGTGATCTAGAGGATTTCCTGACTGAGCTCCAAACAGAATTTAAGGTAACCACAAAATCTGCAGAATACTTTTTATGAATAGAAATTCAGCAAATTTTTGATGGTTTTATTAAAATTAGTCAAAAAGGACATACTAGAAGAATTTAAAACGTTTTAACTTTTTAACGTCATATGTAAATTAAAGAATTTTAGAATGCTACAGTGATGCAGATTTTGGAGGATACATAAAAACAGGTAGATCATCTACTGGAGTGGTTGTAACTTATGCAGGTGGTGTTATATTATGGCTAAGTCAAAGGCAGACAATGGTAGCTACATCAACCACAGAAGCGGAGATTGTCGCAGCTAGCGAAGCAACGAAGGATGTGATTTGGTTAAGCACATTATTTAAGCAAATTGTAAACCTAAACGACAATTTCATTTCAGTTAATAACTATACAGCAGTGAAACTAGCTCAAAAGTTTCATCAACGAACGAAACATATAGCTACGAAACATTTTTTGTTCGTGAAAAATCAATGAAAGCATTTTAGAAGTTGAGCGAATTTCGACAGAACTGCAAGTTCTAAGGCTCTTCAAAGACACCGTCTACAGATTCTGTCTACAAAAATGGGTTTAACTTTAATTAACAAGGGCAAGTGTTGAAGATATAAGTCTAATTTGTTAAATAAAATTAGCAATTAGTTAATATCAGTTAGGCACTTTTATATTAGATAAGTTTATTTTTAACTGTTGTCAATTTTTTGATAGGTATATTTTATTTTTAATCTATTCCTTCACTTTAAATAAATCTTATTGAACACACTTAATGGCGAGCCTTATTTCCACTGGATATATCTACCTCAACAATATTGACATTTCACTAGACATTCGTTTATATTTACAAATTTATTTCAATAAAACTATTTAAAATCTATACAATTATTATAAACTTTCACCTATAAAAATTGCAAAAGTTTGAGTGAAGCGTTTTCGTTTTAAGGATCGGGGTACAAATCTTGGCTAAGTCGATTTGTTGTTTTCAGATTAATTTTATCTGTTAAATTTATGATTTTAAATTTTTTGTTAATTGTCTATTAAATTATTAATACAAATATTGTAGATTTTCGTTAGTGGGTCGTAGAAAAAAGATACTGTACAACTCGAATTGATTGTCCGTATTAACTAACCTATATCCACTCTTATTAGTCTTTTTACACAAACTACTATTCCGGTGGATTTGCGCCAAAAATACATTGTGGAAATAGGGAGCTTTTAAAAAGAGGTAATAAAACACTGATTACTTACATCTGAAAATGTAACACTTGGTTTGGACGGCGATAGTGGTTTACATTTTTCCGGACTTTCTTTACTAGATGATGCTAATTTTAAACCAATAGAACCACTTTTATCATCTCCTGCACTTATCATACTAACTGATTCCTTTATTTCGATAGGAATTTTATTTTGTTCCTCATCTAAGGAAACTGTAACGACAACATCTGGTTTTTTAAATTGTTCACTTGCTCTATCAGGAGATTTTGGAATATCTATTTTTGGACATTTGGAGTCCTGTAAATCTTCAAGTATTTTATTTTGCCCAATATCGAATTGAACTCTAAGCTCGCTGACACTTTTTGATTCATAAGTCTTCTTAGGGATAATTTTTTTCGGACTACTATCACTTAAAATATTGTTAAATTGCTGAGAAGGTTCTGGAAATATCATTTTTGGACCAATTTCCTCTGATAGTTGCTTCGGTAATTCTGGTGAGGGTGTTTTAGATCTTTCATCTTGCTTACATAGTAGAGTTGGTACAGGGCTGAGAGGCCTCGGAATGATTTCTTCAATCACATTGTCATCGTCTGGAGTATTCCAGTCATCTCCTAGTATATCGTCCAGTTCACTTTTTAATTCAAGGTCATTTTTGTTCTGACTTGTAATCGTTTCATCCAGAGGCGATGTTATGATTATGGGAGGTGAAGTAACGGCCAAAGGATAATCAGAATCACCACTGTCGTTTTGAATTTGGTCTAAAGATTCTGATGATGAAGAATGTCCTAAATTTTGGTTGCTTGTTAGAGGGGAGCTTTTAGCGCTTTCCAGTTGTATTAGGTCTTCTTGTGGAGAAATGGGCGATATTGAACCAGTAGCATCTCCCTTGTTGCGTAATAAAGACGAGTCTTCTGTTAAGTTTGGAGTTGATGGTGCTTTTTGCTTTTTGTGTTTTTCCGTTCTAGTTTGGAAATTCGGACTTAGAGCGTATATATTTTTATTTTTTCCTGAAACAATAAGAATAAAAAGTGGATCAATTAAATAATTGGAAAAATAGATAATATGGTTCATTTGAGATTGAAAAATCAATGTGAGCAAGATATACTAATGCATACTAAATGGATGATTCGATATCAACGTTGCCAAAGTGCACGTAGGAGACGAAAATGGGTTACTATCTATGAAGACTAAAGAGAAGGAGGAGAATCGACAAACCCTCGATGTGGTCACAAATATTAGGAATACTATTTTACTTAATACACGACACCCACATGACTTTATGGAGAAAATACAAAAAAATATCCATATCCATATAAGCAAAATAACCCACCTTCAAAATTATTTTTTTTTGTAATAAATATTTGAAAAGTATCAAATTGATATGAATTAGCTATTATTTATGAGTTTACCTATAATAACTATTAATTTTTACTCCACTTTCCGTTTATAGGATAATAACATGACTTTATTGTAGAGAAAAACAAAAAAAATCCTTATCCATGATGTGTAATTTAACTTCCAGTCCATTATATGATTTTCTAAATAGGTTTATGAAAGTTATGCAACTAACAATGCTAATGGAAGTAATATCGGTTGCATAAAAAGACAATTTTATTCAAAATTTTAGCACAAATAGCTATTGTAAACCAAAATGTAAAAACATAAATTTGAGACAAAACTGAAAAGAAAGGTATAATAATAATCCTACGGTTAAGGGGGGTTGCATGTGTCCGCTAGTTACATACTTTGATTTTCTTTACTATACGGTGCAAGAGAGGTGCAACACGCCCAAAATATGCCACAGTTTATAGCTAAAGAATCAGATTGCTCACTCTGCGTCGGTACTTTTGATCTTAATGTTCCAGTTTATACACTGCGCAACTCGGATAATACAATATATGACAACCGCCTATAATAAAACAGCAGTCTTCTGCGTATCCTGAATTTGTATCCCTGGAGTTGATGTTATTTTGGAACTTTCAATTGGTCCGAGTGAGCTAACTGATTCTTTAGCAATAAACTGTGACTCCAAAAATAATATTCACTAACACCACATACTTTGATTACTATACGGGGCAAGAGAGAGGTCCGACACGCCCAACATAGGGCGCGGCCATTTTGAACCCTATGACACAGTTTATAGCTAAAGAATCAGATCGCTCACTCTGCGTCGGCACTTTTTATCTCAATGTTCCAGTTTATACACTGCGCAACTAAGATAATACAATATATGACAACCGCCTATAATAAAACAGCAGTCTTCTGCGTATCCTGAATTTGTATCCCTGGAGTGGATGTTATTTTGGAACTTTCAACTGGTCCGAGTGAGCTAACTGATTCTTTAGCAATAAACTGTGACTCCAAAAATAATATTCACTGACACTGACAGCAGCAAGCAAAATATCAGGTGCGTTTTAATCATCTGTTTCTGCTTCCGGAATTGTCGGTTCAGTCGTTCTAACCTGTCAGATTAAAACAAGAAAACCGACAATTCCGAAGCAGAAGCGGATGATTAAAACGCACCTATTAAAAATATTGCGCCAAGATGTAGGCAGCACGTAATAAGGGATCAAAATGGCGGAGTTTTCTATCTCCTTTTAAAAGGCACTCAGAAAGCTGCGCAGTGCGACCATTCTCCGTATAGTAATAGCGTTTTCGACTGGTGAAACTGGTGCACACTTTTTAGCACTCAATGCAAAATTTGTTTTCGACTCATAGTAGTGCGAACCGGATCAGTTGTTGAATTTTCGGTTGGAATCAGTTGAACTCCAAAAATTAACTGGTGTGCACTTTTGTGAGCCGATTGTAGAGACAGTTTTAGTTCAATCGTAACCAATATGGCGATGGCAAATGAAGACTTGTTTCTAAAATATGTAATTTTTTTAAATTTGTAAAGTAGGAAATATTGGAAACTTCTTCATCAGATTCAGACGAAGAAGATTTAATTAAGGCCAAGTTTAATAAAACTAAACTGCCAAAAATAAAAGATTACATTGGTAGATACCATAAATATTTTTGTATATATAAGTCCTGTATATGCATAGTATATGTTGACATCTTAAGAACTTAAACATAAGTAAGTTTATGTTAATCTGTTGATAAAATATTCTATAAAAATATAAAATAAATTTTTTAAATGAAAGCTTGTCTTTGATCTTGTTTAGAATTTGGCAGGTTCTACTTCTACTTATCACTCAGATGATAGCTGTCAAATACAATGCACTGGGTGTTCAGCTGCGTGTTCGGTTGAAATAAGTTTGTATGACGTCACTAAATTGAACCAGTGCTGAGTAACGAACACTCGCACTTCACGAGTGTGGACTGAGTGTGACCATTCGAAAACGCTATAAAAGAAAATCAAAGTATATGCACAGCTTATACAATACAGCTAAACAAAGTATGTGGCTAAAACACTCTCTTGGCGGCAACGGTTTGCGTCGATTCCGTCGCGCATCGCTTAAGCTCCGCCTTCGGATGGAAAAGACGGCTTTGGCGTTCAGAAGCGTACTTAGGTAAGGTGACGTGCGTATAATTTCGTTGATTGCATAATTTCGTTGAGTCTATAATTTCGTTGATTTTGTTCGAGCTTTCTGATGTTATGTTAAGTTAAAGGTACTATTATTTTTTTGGTGACTCTTTAGCTGTGAGTAGAATGAGTGAAAAAAAAGACATAATTCTGTTTGTGCAGTCAAAAGCTGTTTTAATAAGGGTTATACCTGAAAGAAAACATTCTTTCGTTTTCCCAAAGACCCAAACCGATAAATACCACATTATAAGAAATTGTCATGGTTTAAAATATAATTTATACAGGGTCCTATTAGTGCGTAATTGTTCAATATTTGTGTTGTAGACACGCAAAAAAGTTTTAAATAAAAGTTATATGGATTTGAAAAATACCTACATATTTTAAAAATATTTTTGGATATACAGGGTGTCGCGTTTTTGCCTGGAAAATTAAAATGTATGTTTTTTAAATGGAACACCCAGTGTTTTATTTTATGATGAAATCATTAACACCCTAAATTATTGTAAAGACGAGTGGCTACAGAATATTTTTATTGGCCTTGTGGATCCACTCCTGTGATATCTGTCTTAAATATAACAAAGATCACGATGAATTAGATAATTTTTATTTTTATTGATTTTTAAAGGCATACGATAACGCTAATTCAGATACATTTGGAAGTCTGCAACTGCCAAATGATGAATTTGTAGAACTAGTTTTTAATATTGAAAAGATATTTCAAAATAAATTTGAAGAATTGGCTACAAAAAATAATATTTGTACCACACTTTTAAAATTAATTAACCCAATACCATTTAGTCATCCATGCCAACGTTTTCCAAAAGAATAACTTATTTTAATGTATGTTCAATCTCAATAACTAAAAATATACTAACAATTAGTTTGACAGAATTGTCACTTATTCAAAATTTTAAAAATAATAGCAGTCGGTTGATCAAAATATGAACGGTGATTGGCAGATTTAATTTTTTTGCAGTATTCCCACTACCTAGAATGGATATGAAATATATTCGTTCAGTTGAAGGCAATAGCATACTTTTTCGTTGTGTAATCTATGCATAGATAAGGTAATATCCATGTGGGTGTAGAAAAAATATTTTTTCTACGTCTATATGGATATTAACTAAGTACGCACAGACTACAAAACGAAAAAGTATGCTATTGCGTTCAACTAAACGAATATATTTTATATCCATTTTAGGTAGTGAGAACACTTTAAAAAAATTAAATCCACGGTTCCATGACAAAACAGAACTTGACAAAACAGAACTTGACAAAACAGAACAGGATAAAACAGAACATGACAAAACAGAACTTGACAAAACAGAACACAGACAAAACAGAACACGGACAAAACAGAACACAGACAAAACAGAACAAGGACAAAACAGAACACAGACAAAACAGGACACAGACATAACAGAACACAGACATAACAGAACACAGACAAAACAAAACATATCGACTGAGACTGAGAGAAGTTAAAATCACGTAAGAAATTCAAACTTTATTTGTAGATTTTTAAAACAAGTAAGTCTTATTCAAAAGTAAATCAATGAAGTTTGTACAAAAAATAATCTAACACTGTTAAATATTTATCATACAATTGATTTAAGGTAATGTTACAATATATTTAATCAGGAAATAGTATCAATCATTAAGAACAATATCAGAGTAAAGTAACTATAGGTAGACTTAAATGGTTTTAAATTCTGACCGTCGATATTATGTTTACATTTCTCTAATTTTAATGGGTTTTATTCCATAATGACAGGGATTATAAACAATGAACTAAAAGTAACAGTACTAAGTACTAAGAATTAACCCATTAAATGCATTTAAATATATGTATACTGATAGGAGGCGAAACTTTTTGTTAGAGAATTTCGAGAAATACTTACCTAGTTATTATATACTATGTTCTGTCTTGTCTGTGTTCTGTTATGTCTGTGTTCTGTTATGTCTGTGTTCTGTTTTGTCCTTGTTCTGTTTTGTCTGTGTTCTGTTTTGTCCGTGTTCTGTTTTGTTTGTGTTCTGTTTTGTCATGTTCTGTTTTGTCCTGTTCTGTTTTGTCAAGTTCTGTTCTGTCTGATCACCGATAATAAATATATATTAAAATGAGTTATTTTTGTGTAGACTCTATAAATAATAGAATTTTTGTTTTTATTGGGTACACATTTAAAAAAAAAATAAATTTTAATTAAACTACATGATACTTATTTAATTACGAGTATTAAAACTAAAATCGTGAAAGTGTCGGTGAAGATGAGGACAGAGCATCTGTCTTCCACGCGAAAAGCCCGCGATTGAATCTAGGCCCAGGATTAAATAATAAATTAGTAAAATTCGTAACTTATTTTAAAATTAGTTATTTTGTCTAAATAACCTAAAATAATTTTTTTAATTTGTAGATTTTCGTTAATGGATCGTAGAAAAAATATACTGTACAACTCGAGTGGATTAACCATATCACAATCAGACGATTGAGTACTCCGCCTATGGCGTCGTGCTCAAACTTCGTCTTCGTGTGATATGGCTACCATATCCACTCTTGTTGAACAAACTACTATTTGTTTCTTTTCTTGGTTTAAGTTTTACATCAGAAATAGGAACTAAATCAATTTACTTTTCAAGTTTTCTTGTAAAAATCGATATTACTTTCTCCAATAACTATCTAACTGATAACATTAAGGTACTTTCAAACGGTCAGATCAGTTCTCCGTTCAGTCTCAGTTTCAGTATAGTTATTAGTTCAGTTTGGAAATTACATCCATTTAACTGACAACTGATATGTTAACTTGGTATACCCATCGAGCCATAGCTCCATATCAGTTTTAGTTTTTTTTTACAGTTTTTTGTGTTTACACTCACAGATAACTGACAGTTCGAATGAAACTGACTGAACGGAGAACTGAACTGACCGTCTAAAAGTACCTCATAACGTCTATCATAAAACTGAAAACTGACGTCAGGATCATCGGCTTATATAGCTTGCTTGACCCTTCGCGAACCTTCTCGAAATGCCTAGAATTTTCTTGACAAATAATGACGTTACCCGACATTTCTGGACTATTTTATCTTCTTTTACTCGTACTTTTACTTATGATGATCGCAGCACACTATAGTATGATGGGTGACATTGCACTTCTTTTCGTATTTGTACGTTTCCTATAACGGCCGCAGGCCACTGCAGGGTGTAGTGTAACAATAATAATGGGTTTTAATATCTAAATATTAATCGGCTTTATTATCTACATGTATTTCAGTAATACCCTGTATGCATTTTTAACCTACACATAATATTTTATAGCTGGACAATAAAACAATAGGCAATAAAACTATTGGTAATAAACTATTGGCAATAAAAAACGCTATAAGAAAAATAATACCTGAATCGCCACCTGTAACTACATCCACAATTCCTGCACCACTCAAATCGGGTAGTATAATAGGAGTTATTGGAGTAGTTGCCCTGGAAGCATCTGGAGTTTTTGAAATGGCTAACTGCTTTGCTTCGTCCATAGCACGTTGGAGATTTTGTTGTTTTCTAAATGAATCTTTTCGATGACATCTACCGATTTGTGAGCTAAAACAGAAATTGTAAGTTAGATCACAATGAATTGTAAAAAAGCGTCATCAACAAACAGTAGACCATGGCCGACAAAGACAGATGTGATAAGTACGCTAGACTCTGAATTAAATCCAAACTGACACTTAAAAAGAAGAAGAACTGAAATATGTGAATTTTTCCAAGGCCTGCTTTATAAACATTTTGTATGGATTCATTAGAGAGTTATTGCAAGTTCACTTAAGGTCAGTCACTATTAGTGCCGCTCTTATTTTGACATCTGAGCATGCGCAGATCACTAACTTTAATAAAGATTGTGCCTGTCCTTAATAAGAGAGTTATTGCCTCTTATATTTAAAGTTTTTTAATGCTTTTAGTAGATATATATTAGCTATTAAAGAATTTGCAATTATTTGGACACCCTGTATAATATAATTTTCTAATATGATTGTTTTAATGCTCTGTATCACAGTAGACATATGTAATGAACTAAATATAATGCAAACATCTCTTTTAAAGTCAAATACATTTATTAATTTGTATTGCAGGTTAACGCAGTTTATGTCGCTCACCTATCTTCGTCCAGAAATGTCACTAAAGTCTGGGAGACCGTGTATGGCATTTATTTTATAGTTTTAGTTTACAAAATATGTTTTTATCGTAATAAAAAATTATTTCACAATTACACTCTTTTATTTTACATTTTTGCAAGACGGAAAAGTAAAATACGGCCCTGCTCAATTTTAGCGTCCACCTGCTTCTGTTTACAACAGGCGTAAATTAAATTTGAGGTACCTCGAAAAGTCGTCGAATCAATAAAAATGATTTTTTAGGGTATTATCGTATTTTGCTAAAAAATTTAGAAGGTCCATGTAATTTCTTCGATTGGCGGATCCACTTGCTTCATTGTGACCCCTAAAACTTAGTTCATGCTCTCCCAGGAAACAAGTTACATCTATTAATCGTTGTAAGACGTCTCTATTTTTTTTACATTTTCATTGTGAATTTTGTTGCTTATTTTTAAATTATTGTCCAAACTATGTTCAATGCGATAGGTCCCGAATATTTTTTCTTTAATTGTAGCACTTATATGAGATTTGCTATTTACATGTCGTTTTACACTTTTGTGAGTTCCAATGTGTTTTTTCGACTACCTATATTAAAAAGTAGGCAAGGCCAGCTAAACAATTTCTTCAAAGTTTTGCAGCCGGTTAACCATTCATACTTTTCATAGAACCCTACGTGAAAATGCCTGGTAAATTTCTTTGCTGATTTTTCTACTTTCATCTCTAAATTGATAGGATCCTTTAGTCTATTAGAATTAATAATGTCCGTTTTCTCTTCAAAATTTCTACTTGAAAATCCTTTTTTTAATAAAGAGCACACAATACAGACACAATTTACCACATTATTATTGTTCAGAGGCACAGTACATAGTTCCTTCATTTTACAAAAAGAAAAACAACTACGAAAAACAAACCGAAATCTACCTAAAATCTAAGATTTTCCTCATACGTCGATTCGCGGTGCGAATTGCAATATGCGTAAGACAACGTAATAATCGCTGCCTCTCGACCGTATTTCACGTGTGCAAACAGACTGAAACTGTCGCTGCAAAGCAGGGTCAATAACACTAAGCGAAATCACTTGCACGATGAACAGGTTATTTCAAGAGGCCCTTCCGCTGACAGACCGTTTGTACGTTTACACAATTAATTTTCTCATGGGTGGTGCGTGCGTTTACACACCAATTAATTGTTAGTACATTTACGAAGTTTACGTAATGTTTCAGAGAAAATATAGTACCTAATTTAATATTAATTTCTATGCATCGTAAACTTAAAAATATTTATTTTTAAATTTCAAAGTGTAGGGAAGCGGTGCTTCCCCCGCTTCCATGGACCGCACGCCCCTGGTCATTAAATTATATTTTTTTAAAGTAAACCTGGCATCAATAATTTGCATTTTTGGCATGGAAAAAAATATTTGGTATAATCATTTATAGAAGCTGGTTTTACTCGTACATTAGATGAAGTCCGCCTTTCATTCTAATACTTGTAAGCTTTTTTATAACTACATTTGTGCTTCTATAATTTAGACTTACGCTATTTGGGCATGTTTAACAACTTGTCTCCATTTTACCGTATTTGTATCAAGTACAACGAGTTTTGCAATTCTTCGGAATCTGAAACAGAAAATGTGCGTTTATTATTTATTTACCAATTGTTGATATTGCCAATTAAACAAAAGATACGTAATTACTGAACATGGTTATATTTCGGAACGCGTCTATGTTAATTATTTTGTTTCGTGTTTTTGACAATATACAATTTTTTGGTGTTGTTGTTGCAAGCTTTTTGTTTTCTTCTATAATAGAGAGGTCAAAGAGATAAGTTTACTTTATTCCGTTGACCAAAACCACGCTCAGCTAACAGATACTGCTTAACCTTCGGTCCTACTTTGTAAATGGTGCTTGCACATGCAGCAAACTAAACGATATAGTATGAACGTTGACATTTACAGGTTAATTCACTGGTCGGTTGTAGACTACCGACCTGTAAATGGCATCGTTGATACTACATTATTTCCACTCATGCACGTGGGAACACCATTTACTATTCACTCAAGCAAAGCTGGACCGAAGGTGACGTTATTGTAAGCTAAGTAGTAATTTTCTAAATTTATTTAGAATAAAACAAAATACCTTGCAAGCGAATTTTCATTTTCTGGAGGAGGAGCGAACAATTCTTCATCTTCATCTTGAGTTACCGGAGCAACCTTAAAATCTCTCATTAATCTTCTTTCCCATATTTTCATTTTCTTTCCCAAAATTGCTGCAATTAAAAAACAATTTGAATTGCGAATTACATTGTTCAATCAATAGGAGGAACATCAGATTATTTCGCGAATTTTATTAATAAAATTGATACTAAAGTAATCAGGGACGTATAATTTAGTAGGCGACACTTCTTGACGACACTTCTGCATCTGTCTCGGGGTAAAGCGTTTGCTGCGTGTCGCACTCGAAGTCACTGCCCTCAGGCATCGCTTTTTTTTGGAGGTGATTAGGTTGAAAATTTCTTTCGATCTAGGCAGTGTTGCCAGATTTTGGAACAGAATGGGTAAAAAAAAACCGTAGATCTGAACAGTAGATTTTAATACAGGGGGAAATAATTATAATTTGCTGTGTAGTAAATAAAAAAACAAGTATATAAGAAACGAAAAATAAACTTTTTTACCCAAATTAGAAAGTAAACAAAGAATAAAAACAAATAATAACATTTTTAATATACAGTGAGCACCATAAGTCTTACCCCCCCCCCTATCTAACTCATTACTGGAGTCTTCTTAGGAAAATTGCCGAGACAGGTCGATTTTTGATTTCTCCAATGTACATTTTTGTATGATTAGTTTACCCTTAATTTCATCCCTTACTGGAGGGGAGCAACCCTTTTGAAAAATTTAAATGGCATGGGGTGGTGAGTGATAGCTCATTTGAAAGGGGGTTTTATTCTCTATTCAACCGTGCAAAAAATTTAAAATTTGCTTCATTGCGTGTTGATTTATTAATGTTTAAAAATAACAAAACCTCACAAAATAGGAAAGCAACTAAACTAACAGTGACCTTCTAATGGCAAAAAGTCTTACTTCACGTCTGAACCAAAACCGAAATCATGCAAGGCCGAATTTTAATTCTAAGGATGAGTGCGCTACGTTAATTTCCGTTATTCTGAAACAACAATTAGTCGAGAATTTATGAAGCAAATTTCAAAATTTTTTACACGGTTGAATAGAGAATAAAACTCTCTTTCAAATGAGCTATCATTCACCACCTTATGCCATTTAAATTTTTCGAAAGGGTTGCTCCCCTTCAGTAAGGGATGAAATTAAGGGTAAACTATTCATACAAAAATGTACATTGTAGAAAACAAAAATCGACGTGTCTCGGCGATTTTCCTAACAAGACTCCAGTAATGAGTTAGATAGGGGGGGTAAGACTTATGGTGCTCACTGTATATACTTAACGACAGGAAACAAAAAAAAAAAACTAATGAAAAATAATAGGTATTTCTTTCAGATCAGTCTGAATCAAATAATTCAAATACGTTGTGATTGACATGCATGTTCTTTTTGTTGCCCTATTAATTCTTTGCTACAGTTTAAATAAAAACAAACCTACAATAGTGGCTGCTTATTACGCTGCTTTTACTGCAGAAAATTTACCAGAGAAAATATTTTTTAACCATTTGCTGAAGAATGAGGCAAACTTAATAAATTAAGAACAAAATTTGCTAGAGACAAAAACAGTGGATCTACGTAAAAACAGTAGGTCTGGCAACGCTGATCGTTCCCTCGAATGGTTATCTTGCAAGTGTCTTGCGACCCATCTCCAAGCTTCCGAAATATATGGAGCTTAACATTTATGCATCTATCGTCCTTAGGGTCGCCTCGGTGGTCTCCTGTTTCCTGACGCGCCTACCGAAATCGTACCTTTAGAGTCAAAAAAATAAGAAGAGTGGTCACGCTGAAACGGACGGTACCACAAAGCGCCCGATGCAGCATCCGACAGAGATCGGTAAAGGCACCATTTCGGTAGGAGCGTCAGGAGACGAGAAACCACCGAGGCGACCCCAAGGACGACAGATACATAAATGTTACGCTCCGTACATTTCGAAAGCTTGGAGACAGGTGGCGAACACTTGCAGGATAACCATTCGAGGGAACGATCAGCGTTGCCAGACCTACTGTTTTTACGTAGATCCACTGTTTTTGTCTCTAGCAAATTTTGTTCTTAATTTATTAAGTTTGCCTCATTCTTCAGCAAATGGTTAACGAATATTTTCTCTAGTAAATTTTCTGCAGTAAAAGCAGCGTAATAAGCATTCACTATTGTAGGTTGGCTCCATAAAAAAAAACATCAAGATAATCATTGTTTTTATTTAAAATGAAACAAAGAATTAATAGGGCATCATAAAAAGAACATGCATATGCCAAACACTACGATTTTGAATTATCTGATTCAGACTAATCTAAAAGAAGTAGGTACCTATTATTTTTCATTGTTTTTTTTTTTGTTTCCGTACGTTAGGTATATATTAAAAATGTTAATATTTATTTTTATTCTTTGTTTACTTTCTAATTTGGGTAGAAAAAAGTTTATTTTTCGTTTCTTATATACTTGTTTTTTTATTTACTACACTGCAAATTATAATTATTTCCCCCTGTATTAAAATCTACTGTTTTTTAACACCCATACTGTTCCAAAATCTGGCAACACTGCCTAGATCGCAAGAAATTTCCAGCCTATAATCACCTCCAAATAGAAGCGATGCCTGAGGACAGTGACCTCGAGTGCGACACGCAGCAAACGCTTTGCCCCGAGACAGATTCAGAAGTGTCGTTTTTCGTACCGCGCGAAATGTGTTTCATTTAATTGTATATATTTTAGACGTGAAGAGACACTTCCCGGTCGCGTCGGCGGTCGTCTGTCGCGCCTACCGAAATGGTACCTTAACACTTGAATTTTAATCGAGTGTACGCAAGCAAATATGCGTTAGTGCCCGTTAAATATATTTTTTATTTTGTTCTTCGATTAATTAGATTTTAAACATTGTTAAGTTTAGTTTGCCGATATAATTAATAAAACATTGTAAAATCATGTTAACACGAGTTTTGTGAAGTGGCTATACAAAGTGTTATAGTATTCAGGGTGATAGATTTATCACCATGATTATTTAGAAACAATAATTTTTAAGTTAAATCGTTTAACTTCTAAAATACTGTTTTTTTTGCCATGAATTGGCGTTAACATTAGGTATTTTTAGATTTTGTTTATTTGACAACCATGTTTGTGTATGTTTTTAAATGCATTGTTGGGTATTTAATTCTAGTGGAAATTTTTAGTTTCATTTATTAATATTGAAGACATTATTCATAAAAGGGATTTGACATTGCAAAATGACAACGAACTGTATAGTTTGTCGAAAATATTTGAAAAAATTGCTTTTTCGAAAAGTAGGTTTATGTCAAAATAACTTTCATGAAACATAAATAAATAAAACATTAACCATAGCCGTAACAAATGTGCTAGGATTTTATAAATTTTTTTAAATGCCACTTCTTTGGATTATCTTTGTTTATGGTTTCATATTTTAGTATATTAGTGAGTTTAATTTTTTTTCTAAATAAACAATATTATTATACGTTAATAACCGGCCAATTTCGTTAAAGACCAGATTACTGTTTTTGTCCGTGACATATACACACATTACCTTTATCTTTTTTTTCTGCCGAAGAAATATCCATTCCACTTTTACCTAATACTTCAAGAATTTCATAACGAAAAGAAGATATGTCACTTTTTAGTTCATTAACGTCATCTTCGGTGACCAGTTCTTCATCGCATTTTCTGTGCATTGCCGAAATATATCGCCACACTAAGGATCGCATTACCGCAGTGTATCTGTAATCTCTTTCCTTTTCTTCTCGATTTCTCCTCTAAAATAATAAATTTTACCACAGGTACAAACTAATAAAAATAAGAATTGATTGATTGATTTTGATATGGTAACTAAACTACAAGCAATATTTTTCGAGAAGTTTATTTTTTATGATTTTTAATGTTATCCGACAACACTGTAAGCGTTGATAGGTAAAATAGTAAAAATGTTATTTCTACGACGCATCTGTACATGTACTTTTCTCTAATGGAATGGGCTCTATCTACTCATCGCACTTTCCAACAGCACCTTAGAATATCTACAAGCTCTTTACCCAAAAAGTATAGCCTTATCATCTTAGTATAAATGAAAATTTTACAGAAATTAAACATTGCTAAACTACTTACTTTGGTTGACATTCTTCTTAGTTTGTCCTTCTTCCGCACACCGCACAGTTTAAATAACATCTTTGGTTTTGGGAAAATATTAAACGGTGGCGGTAGAGTGCCAGTTTCTTCAAAATAGCTCATCCATAGTTTTGTTCTTGCAAACTTCCATTCGGTATCTGAATGCTCCTGCAAATATAATAATTAGGTATTATTAAATTAAGTACGAAAAATTAGTGTTTTCTAATGTCCTATAAGAATGCCAATGCAAAATTCAATCCATAGAGTTTGTTGCACCAATTTAGGAGAATAACAATACTACATAAAAATCATGTGCTTCAATACTTACATCAATCATAGCATAAGAATTGGACATCATAGCTATAAGTAGATTCAGTAATACGATTACATTGATCACACTGTAGGATCCGAACATAAGCAGTCCCCAAAATCGTGTATAGGTTTTGATTCCAGTAAGTTCAAAACTAACAAGATCTACCATTCCAAAACTGGCCCAAAATAATGATTGAGACGACTCAAAAACACTGAAATAAAAAAGATTGAATTGGTAACAATATTCCTAAAATTTGAAAAATGATAGACTGGTGGATTGCAGAAGACCATAAGATCCAACAAGGTTATCCACGTGTTACATCCATCAGGCGATAGCCACTCCCCTCCAAGGTCACCTTGCCGTTGGTGGAAGGACGGAGTAGCTATGAGTTTAAGAGCGATGCCGGCGGGAGTTTATACTCCTGGTAGGGCCACCCATACCGGTAAGGTCAAGGATGAGTAGCGAAGCTAAGGACAGCTCAGCAGGAGTAAACCTGCTTAAAAAACCGTAACCTAAGGTGTGAACAGAGATAACAGGTGTAAACAACCATGCCGTTGGATGAATGGCCATTAGTATATGGTCAAAAACGGTGTATTCCGGATATAGGGCGCCCTCCAGTTTTAATGTAGCCCTGCTGTGGTGCCGGAAGCACTGTTATAGTCGACGTTTATTTCTACCCCACTCGTGGGAACAACTATGAACAAGACACAAAAAAACAAAATTGACGGTGCTATGGATCTGTACAAGCCGAAAAAAGACGGACAGAGAGCGTTGGATATGCTTAAGGAAAAGGAAAGGGCGAAGGAGCAGGATATCTTCGCAAGAACGTCTTCCTTTCCCAGGACGCCTACAAAAGTTTTAGGAACAGAAAAAAAAAAGGTAAAAGGGATGAATTATTTTCCCCAGAAGGACAGAAAGACGAACTACCTACTATAAAAATGGTAGATAAAGAAAAGGACACTGAACTAGAAATAGTTGATAACCGGCAAGATGAGGAACTAAAACATAGCTCCATATACAGTTTAGGTCTGCATGATATTAGTAACAGCTCAGAGGAAGATAACGAAGAGAAGGCGAGGTGACATCAACAAATCCAAACCCAAAACGGAGGAAAAGAGAGGAGGGATCCTCGCAAGAAAGGATCTCAAGAGCAGCCCCAATCAGCAGTGAAAGCTATAAGGGGATAAGGAAAGACATAAAGAAGGTTTTAAAGGCGATCAAAAAACTAGTGAAGTTGATTCAAGAAAACCTAAATACGAAGGTAGAAATAAAACAAACCTCGAAAAATTTAAATTAGATTACGCAGAGTATGCTACAAACAATAGATTAATGCGAGCTGGATGACTTAGAGTTGGAGGCACAAAATAGTCTAGAGATGGAACATGCACCGAAGAAGCCCGAAACGGAAGATAAAGGCAAACAATAAAATATCGAGGTCCAGATAATAATTGGAAATAATAAGGGGTTTAGTGAAATAAAAGAAATTATTATGGACTGACCCGAAAATGTGTACAGAACGACAAGCGAGGAGGTGGCGTACCCGATCAAGTCAGACGACGGATCTGGCAGTATTAGTGAACCCTGCAGAGAACTGGGATAAGGGCCTTAGCAGGACAGTGATAAAGATGTATCCTGAGGTTAGGGAGCTATACCAACCAGGTGAGCTTCAAAAGGAGGACTTTAGATACCTGACTAACGTAATAAGCGTCAAGCTTAGCAGTGGGAATAACTCTGAAAAATTGAAAAGGGTGTATGTGATATCGTTTGAACCGCATACCGATGAGGAAAAACAACCTATATGAACTACTACAAAGGTGAAAGGAGAAGACAGAGAAAGAAGGGAGGAGAAAATACATATTCGCTGCTGCGGACGGAGTTGTTCGCTCGGACTGCAAGAAGATACTATCTGTACCACCAAACAGACACTAAAATAATCTGCAGGCTACCAGCAGGGTATAGGACAGAGGCAGAAGAGACAAAATATTAAAGACCAATCGATAGCATGGTAACAATCAAGGCAGGCAGCGACACCTACGCGAATTTACTGATTTAGGAAAATGGGCAAAGGGGACATTATATTCACGGTATCAGATGGGAAGCACATGGCAGATGCTCTGAAAAATGAGATACAAAAAAAACATAGAGGAGGTAAAAGTCACCACAAGACGACAAGGAGTAGCGCTGTATATAATGGGCATTTACCCAACCACCACTAATAAAGAAGTGACTGGGGAATTACAGAAGTACGGAGTATCCAAAGATGAGATTGAGAATAAGAGGATCAGGAAAGGAAGATACGAAAAGCTTACCGCAAAAGTAGAAATCCCAATACACCGGCGGCAGACCTGATGAGAGCGGGTGATATTAAGGTGGAATGGGTTAACTGTAGTGTCAACGCAAGGGTGTCTATAATAAGATACTACAAATATCTGGAACACGGACATAGAACAAGCGAATGTAAAATGCAAGACGCCAAGCCACAAGCATGCTTTAATTGTGGCCAAACAGGGCACAGGGTCAAGGAATGCAGTAACGGATCATATTGCATAAAATGCTGTAAAGGTGGTCACAGAGTTGATCAAATACGATGCCCACATTTCAAAAGTTTAGTGACAGAAATTAGGGAAATAAGAATAGGCGTGAAGTCGAGAAGGGTAAGCGTGGCAAGCGTCACAAGCGCTACGTAGAAATAGCCACTAAAAATACCAGGATACTGCAGGGCAACCTGAACAGGTGCAATCAGGCTATGGATTTGGTATATGGGGTTGCAGATATACTGGTGATCAGTGAGCTAAATAAGAAAATAATAAAAAATCCCCCCCTTCGGTAGATAGTAGATCAGAGGATGGACGTAGCTATCTATATACATAAGAAATCGAAAAATTACAATTAAAAAGATTTGCTCCAAGAAAGGTTATCTGGGGACAGAATTAGACAAATTCCATATGATGCTGGGATACATCTCACCAAATTCTGGTATGACTTTCTTCACGGAAACAATAGATAGGATGTTGGATATGTGCAATGGCACAGAGATGAATACGAATACATTATTATGGGTGACCTGAACGGCAAATCTCCACAGTGGGAATAACCAACCAGTGACGAGAGAGGCGATTATATTGCAGAAGGAATAGCAACATGGGATATGCTAGCTCATAACACGGGCCGAAAACCCACTTTCATTAGGGAAAGCCAGAAGTTATTTATCAACGAGAAGGATGGTAGAAAAATAAAAGACTGGAAGGTGGGAGTTGAAAGCCTAAGCGATCACCAGTATATCTGTTTTGACATTAAGGAAAAAGTCACACCAATGAGGGGTCGTTTAGTGGATTGGGAGGTATTTAGAACCTGCATACAATTAAGAAAGGCAACAGCCACTAGAACTCCGGATGAGTGCAGTTTCATTCATGGCGCGTATAATGACAGCGTAAAGAGACAGAGATCCAGCCATTTTGGTGGAACACTGACATTGAAACCAAGCGAAGGTAAACTACGATTCTAAGAAGGCAGGCAAGGAACAGAAGTCCAAAAAAGAGCTGAAAAAATTTATAATTAGCGCGAAGAAGAAACAGTGGGAAGACATATGCCATGAGCTTAACGAAGATATATGGGGCGATGGTTACAGAATAGTAACAGGAATATTCGGTATTCAGTCACCGGCGGAGCTATCGACAACACAAAAGCTAGAAATAGCAAACCACCTTTTCCCACAAATGGAAAATAGAACAAGAGCGATAGACCTGCCAGTGGAAGTAACTACCGTCACAAGTGACGAAATAAAAAGGGTATTAGAAAAAACCTAAAATGGAAAAGCCCCTGGACCTGACAAAATCGCTATGGAAGTCTTAAAAGATATAGGTAAAATTGTCCCGAATATTTTACTCATAATATACAATCACTACTTGAGGAAGCAGACATTTCTAGAGGAGTGCAAGAGAGCAAGGCTGGTGCTCATTCAAACACCCGGGAGAATGGAATCAGTAGTTTTCGAGGGCTTTATAAAGCTGAGATTGGAGGAAGAAATCGATAGAAGGGGGACTGTCAGTTTGGTTTCAGACCAGGAAAATCCACACTTCATGCAGTTGAGGAGATAAGAAAGGAAGTGGCAGAAGGAGGCGATAGGTGGATAGCACTATTAACGCTAAACACAAGAAACGCATTTAATACGGCCTGATGGGACCTTATCATAGAAGAACTTAGAAAGAAGAGAATATCGACCTACCTACGAAACATACTAGAAAGTTACCTGCAAGACAAAGAAATAACGATAGATAAGAAAACGATGAAGGTGGCGGTGGGAGTTACTCAGGGGTCTGTACTGGGACCAATCCTTTGGAATATATTGTATGACGGAGCAATACGAAACAACCTAGGAGAAGGAACTAAAAGCATAGGCTTTGCAGACGATCCAGCCATTTTGGTCAGAAGCGGTGATCAGGAGCATCTGAAAAATAGAGCGAAACTAGCGCTGAGGCGCATCACCTGCTGGCTAACAAGCTATAAGCTAGAACTAGCCCCAAAAAAAATGAGAGGTTATAATCCTTAAAGTTCCTTGGAAAAATCTGACAGGGAAAGGCCGCGTTTCTCCTTTAAAGAAATCCAATTAAAGCCTCAAAGAGAGGTAAAGTACCTGCGGTTTATCCCACACGGTATACGCAGCTTCGGCAAACACATCGAAATGGCCGCGAACAAAGCAGGATACTGAGAAATATCGGAGGCCCTCAAAGTAGGAAACAGGAACTGCTGAGCGGAGTGGTACACTCCATATTATTGTATGGATCACCCATATGGGTCAAGTAGTAAATGTAGCAACATACCGGAAAAGGATGAAAAAGGTCCAACGGAAGATCGCGATGAGAGTCGACAGCGTCTATCGAACTACTTCATTAAAGGCAATTCAGGTCATCACAGGTACAATACCGATCCACTTGTAGGCATTCGAAAGACAAAGAGTCTACAGAAGAGTCAATGGTAAAGAGGCAAAGGACTTGGAGTGAGAGGTTAGGAAGACATGTCGTATACAAAAAAAATGACAAGAGAGCCACAGATGTGTGCATGTACTGCGAGGCAATCGATAGCCCGGCACACACAATTTTTCACTGCAACCGCTAGGTGATAGAAAGGCAAAGGGCATGGGGTACTATACCAACGGTCTTAAATGAGAACAGCTTGGAGGAGGCCGTGGTTTTGAAGAAAGACACATGGGAGGCTATCCGAAAGATAGCAAAGGAAATCCTTTACAAGAAGGAAGAAAAGGAAAGAATAAGACAAGCATAATAATAAAGGACAAACGGCTGAGAATATTCAGAAGGCCACTCAGTATTCCGAAGAATGTCTCAAAAAGACGTTACCGGGATTCTGAGGTTAAAGAGGAAGGGTTTTAGTGGGTAGGCCGGCACTGCACCCAAAAGCCGGAGTCCCACACTTCCAGATGCAATTACACTAAGCACCTGGGGCACACGAGGATTTTCCTTCTACAAAAAAAAACCATAGCCACTGAGCGAAACTGGAGTGCAAGTATGAAGGCCTCTGAGGTAACAAATAGTCTAAGAGCTTAATCTTTGGCTAAACTGCCAAAATATTTTGTAACAGCCAGTGGCAGCGAACGAGATAGAACCCTTTATCTTAAAAGCTATTAAACTGAATGGCACCTGATTAGAGAACTCGTATTCCTGTTAGGTACCTATTTATTATGGGTTATTTGGCCAAAACGAGCCTTGCTTTTCGCTATATGCTTCAAATTTATAAAAAATTACAATTAAGTCAATATTTAAAAGAATCATTGAAATATTAAAACTTACTTTGCAAATCGTCTCCATTTCATGCAAGCATCAGCTGCTCCATCAAAATCTGGTTCTCCATTTGGTAAATGATAACATTTCTGTTTTTCTAAATTGGAAAAATACCACAGGAGTTGATTAAGGCCTAAAAAATAACGATTATACAACTTGGTTTTTGTTTTAAATTTTTGTAGTATCTATATTTTAGTTTCTTATTACCTATTCAAGTTAATGTTATTAACTTGGACAACTAACGACTGTTTTGGTAAAATTTACAAATAGGCCAATTTTGTTATTTGCATTTGTATCTATTTGAAGAGAAAATGTAGGATGATGATTAGATTGCATGATATCTCAGCATGTTTTGATTAAGACCGTACGTATATGAAAAAATATAAATATACAAAAAAAACCTAAATTAAGGATATACAATGCAATAATTGTCAAAAAATTAGCAGAGTGCTGTGAATTTTGAGCATTACAAAATAAACATGACGGTCCAATAAACGCACTAGAAAAGCAATTTTTAAGAAAAATTAAAGGTATAAGTATCAAAGCTAGATGATTTAAAAGGTGAAAACATTCATGTAAATTGGTATGGAAGTATAGAGGTATGACCGAAGCAGGTACAAACCAAGAGAAAAAATGTAGACCCATAAAGAAATGGATTGATTGAATAAGATATTTTTAATAAAAGAAACGGAAATGAAAAGAAAATCAGAATAATAAATTGCAAAATTCTTGTAATTAATAAGTTAAAATCCTTTAAGAACTACAATAAAATTAAATTATCGAGTGAATATATGGTTAATGAAATACAAAGTAATAAAATGAAATATTTATTTTATGTATTTACTGGCACTAAAAATAGAGGAAACATGATAAATAATAGAGAGTTATTGGAAGTTCACTTAAGGTCAGTCACTATTAGTGCCGCTCTTATTTTGACATCGGAGCATGCGTAGATCACTAACTTTAATAAAGATTGTGCCTATCCTTACTAAGAGAGTTATTGCAAGTTCACTTAGGGTCAGTCACTATTAGTGCCGCTCTTATTTTGACATCTAAGCATGCGCAAATGTTTATGTTCTAAAACTGACTTTATTAAGGATTGTGCCTGTCCTTAATTGTGGATGTTTAAGGGCAGCAGGTAGTGGCGACTTTATAGCTTTCGGATGCGCTCGTCATTTAAACCTTCCAAAATTATAATTTCTAATGCCTCTTTAATATTAGGTACTATTATAGAATTTATTTAACTCTAATTACGATGTTACTATTAGTGGCTGGCTTTATAGAAATTTGCAATATCTCTCTATTAAGGACAGGCACAATCTTTATTAAAGTTAGTGATCTGCGCATGCTCAGATGTCAAAATAAGAGCGGCACTAAGGGCCATTTTCATAATCAGGTTGTTAAAGTCACTTTAAGTAAAGTAACTTTAGCTTATAAAGTAAATTTTAAAATTTACTTGTTTCATAATAAAAATGTATAGTAACTTTTGTTAAAGACAATTTTTTTGAAATTAAGTTGTTGTTGGCTTAACTGAGCGTATAATTTTGACAAATGCCTAACTTCTCTTGATTTAATTTTGAGGTTGGGTTCGTATGTTGTTAACATTTAACATATATATGAAGAGGTTGTTAAGTTGTGTTGTTTTGAATTTATTTCGATGATGCAAAGAAAAACACTAAACCCAGTAAGAAATCGCGGTAATAATTTTTCTAAGGAAGAGGAATTAAGTTTGGTTAAAATTATTTCCCAATTTAAGGATATAGTTGAGAACAAAAATACAGATCAAGTGACCCCTAACAAAAAGGTAGGTTTAGTAGTGAAAAACATAATTTTCGTCGTTGTTTTTACCTATTGTATAACTTTTTAGGAGGAAGGTTGGCAAAAAATTTTAAATCAGTTTAATAGTTGCCATAATATTAGAACAATAACACAAATCAAGTCAAAATATGACAACCTAAAAACTGCTGCTCGAAAATACTACTCAAATATTAACAGGAACATATATGGCACGGGCCTGCACACCCTCCGGACCCTAAGAATATTATTTATGAAGAAGTCATTAATATAACAAATAAAAAAACAATACAGGGTTTACCAAACAGGTATGACGATGATAGCATCATTATTGAGGAAGTATTTGATGAAAATGAAGAAGATAGTACAAGTGTAGTTGAGGAACAAATACAGATAGGTAAATAATATGTTTTATGTAGGTTTATACAACAAATATTTCACACCAATATTCTTATTAATTTCATGGTATGAACATTAAAAATTTTTTTTTTGTTCAGAATATTAACAATTTTAAGCTGCACTTGCTATAAAATGTTGGGTATATAATTAGTTCTGTTAATTTCAGTTGTAGATCAGGATGAGAATTTAAATTCAGAAATACAAGATAAGGAAAATATTGTGCCAAGTGCAAGCACAGAAATAAAAGAAACAAGGCCTGTATGGAGTTTCTACACTCCAAAAATGTTAATAGAACCAAAAAACAAGAAGCTTCTTTTGAAAAATAAGCCAGCACCACAAAAATATGAAACAAAAACATTTTTTGCGCTTAAACAGCAATATATTGAGCAGAAAATCCAAAATTTAAAAAATGAGGACAGGAGGAAGCAAGAAAGGCATGAAAAAGAAATGGAACTGCTGAATATAGAAATCGAAAATAAACGAAAAATGGATTATTAAAATGTATTTATTTAATAAAAATTACAATTAATGAAAATTTTCATTTATAAATATTGTTCTGTACTGAACATGTCCCAATATTTCTTCTGCATGAACATTTTCATTGTCCATATTTTGCAAGTCTCCTTCTACTACTTCATTCTCAATTTCATCATGCAAATCTTCATTCATTTCGATTGCCATGTTATGTAATACAGCCGTTGCCACTATAATTGTCATTGCAGTATCAATATCCACTTTTATTCCTTGAGATAAAATCGGAAATCTGCGTTTCCACACACCATACTGGCGTTCTACTACATTACGGGTTCTAATTAAAGCTTCATTGTATAAATTTTCTGGTTCATTGTTGACAGTCTGCAAAGGCGTTAACAAATATCTTTTGAGAGAGTAACCACTATCGCCTATTAAGTGAAAATTTCTAAAATGTCCATTTTCAAAATTATATTTCAATCTTGAATTATTAAAAATGGTTTGATCATGACAGCTACCTAGTTATCGTGCCACAATGTTCCTGATTTTCAGCTAAGAATCTGACACAGTTTGTACGTTCAAAGAAAAATAACCCTTTCTGTTTCGGTATATTTCCGCCTCTTCGCCTCCTAAATAAAGTGAATATTTAGCTATAATAAAAGTTTTAAATAATTATTAAGTTACCTGGTGACATGATCTTAACATGTGTGCAATCTATTGCCCCACAACATCGAGGAAATCTTGAAATTTCATAAAAATCTGGTACAGTTTTATTGAGATCCTCTTGAGATTCAGGCATTTTAACCCTTTCAGTCACGCATTTTTTCTAGCCATAGGAAAAATCTGATTTTTGGCACTATAAAAGAATTATTTTTTTATTGATTTTTGGTAAAAAGAAAAAAAAATATATATTACAGGTTTCCGAGTTATAGCATGTATTCAATTGAATACATTGTGACTTAAAGGTATAAGAGGTTGGTGCAAAAAATACTGTTTTTTTTTAGATTTTATTTTATATCACATTTATTTGACATGGAAACTCAGAAAACAGTTTTTTTCCTTATTTAAACATAAGTGTACTTGGCATTTAATACAAATTACTCGAGTTTGTCCCTTACAATCTAGATTTTTACATCTAGATGCAAATTTTTTTGAATCAAAATTGGGAAAATGACCAAGTTGGTCAAACTGAATTTCCGAAACTGGTCTTATTTCGGTAACTCTAGAAGTCGATGGAGAGGGGGGAGCGGGACTTGGTGGGTTGGAGGTAGCAGATGATGGACGTCCCTTTTTCCTTGCTGGTGTTTTATTGGCTTTTATTAGTACTTCTGCAACGTAAGCCCTAAAACCAAGAAGATCCAGAACATCTTTTTTAGAAATACCTAAACGACTGGCTTGCTCTTTGTACTCCAGCCAAGCATTTGCACAGGCGATATCTATTGCATGAGTAAACATACGCATAGTCCATTTTCGTGATCTTATAAACGTCCGGTATAATGTGATAAGAAAATCTAATTTATCGACTCCGCCCATGCAATCGTTATATTCTTTTACCACTTCCGGTCGTGGAACATCTTTATATTGTTTCTCTGATTTGTCCCAACGTACGCAGGTATCTGGCATTCCCACACCTCTATAATTTGAAGCAAGTATCACGCTTTTGTTGTCAAACCATTTAGTCATAATTATACCATCTTTGCTTATGACTTCCTCAAAAGAACCGCGCCTCTTTTTTTTCATAATTTTATCAGATGAAAATGGCGGAGACTTAAATCTGTCAATACGAGCGGTACAATAGGCATATATAGATTTGTTTCTTAAATATTGTAATACGTTATAATTGCTGAAGAAATTGTCAAAATATAAACGAACATTGGGATTGATGATACGCTGTGCCAATGTCGTCACAATTGCACCAGATGAACCAAAAACTTCGATGTGCTCGGGAATAAATTCTGTCGTTACACCTTGGTAAATTACAAAATCGTACAATATTCCACTTCGTCCACATAGGGCTAGTACCTTTATACCCCATTTGGTGGGCTTATTTTTGATATATTGTTTTATATTTAGGCTTCCTTTGAAGGGAATCATCTGCTCATCGATACAGAGATCAGTTTCTAAAGGTAGGGAAAGGCATCTCTGTCTAATAGCATCATACAATGGCCTTATCTTCCATAATCTGTCATTGTTGTCTGGTTTTTCCTCAACATTCACAAAATGAGTATGCTGTCGTAATTTGAAAAAACGGTTTATAGGCATAGAGTTTGAAATTATAGGAATGCTGCAATTTGGTTGCCAGTAACATCTTATTCTTGGAAAATGACAATTACCCATTACTATGTGTATCCCTACAAAAGTTTTGATTTCATCTATATTTGTGGGAGCAAATTTAGTTTGTTGCTGAAGCGCAAATAAATTTGTGTTTTCAATAATAAGTGAAAATAAAGCATCAGAAAAATATTTTTC